GCTAAGACACTTAAAAGGTCACTTTATCAGGTCAACTGCAAATGGTGCTCTTATTACAGAAAAGTTATATAAAAGAGGAAAAGAGAAGTAAGTACATTAGCATGTAAAATGCACCACAAAAATGGAAAAGAAAATTTCAGCTAAATACTTATAAGATCAATCTTCCTTAAATCTTTTGTCCAAATGGATGACTTCCAAGAGCTCTGTGGCTCCATTCTTCAGCATCACTCTGACCTTCAGCAAGTCCTTTATGAATGCTACCCACCCAAGTGTATAAAAATGCCAAATCACATAGGGCTCCTGGAATTATTTTATTTTTTACTCTGTAAAGGCTGCATTTTGGACATCTTAATAATGGTCAAAGCATCCTAAGCCAACCTAGATGGCAACTGCTAGAAACACAGGAAATGCTAAAAAAAAAAAAAAATGAGTTGGTATAATTTCATTCTTCCCCCTTTTTGATTAGAGTTTACAAATATAACTGTCAGCTAGTTATCCTGGTGAGGCTATGAGTCAGTCCTCCTCCAATAATACAAACTTCTTAATTCAGTTTTTGGACCATAAATCTACCATTAACACTGTCAGTGTTTTGTTGTTAACAGTATCAGTATCTTTATCTATCTTTACTCCCTGCTATGATAGATTTTATCTCTTCCATTGCCTACTGTAATTTGCTGCTGAAAAAACAATTTTTAGTAAGGAATATGCTGAGGGATGGTGATTATATAAAAGGATGAGGGGCAAGATCCCTGTGATAGAATGTTATGTGTGTAACTGTGTGTGGGAGCACATGAAGGAAAGAGTGTCTAATGTGCATGCAAATGATCTGATAGGTCTGAGAGCAATACTGTAACCTGTTAGAGGTCAAGGATCATGGATTGTTCACTGTTACATTCTCAGTAATTAGCACCATTCCCAGCACATATGAAATGTTTAAGGAGAGTCTGTTGCATGAATGAATGAAGGGTACTAATGTTCCATGTTCCACTGGCAAAACAAGGCTTCTGATTTATTTATTTTTTTTTAAGATTTTGTTTATTTATTTAATTGACAGAGAGAGAGAGAGAGACAGCAAGAGAGGGATCACAAGCAGGGGGAGTGGGAGAGGGAGAAGCAGGCTTCCTGCCGAGCAGGGAGCCTGATGTGGGGCTCGACCCCAGGACCCTGGGATCATGACCTGAGCTGAAGGCAGTCGCTTAACCAACTGAGACACCCCGGTGCCCCACAAGGCTTCCAATTTAAAAAACGAGGCTGGAAATCCATCTACAACAGTCTGCTGTGCATCCAGTTGTTATGGGGTGATGTCTATGTACACAGAATTATTAGGAGTTGTGAGAAAGACCAGAGAATTGAATACACAGAATGTGGACTTGAAGAGTTTCTAGTCTAGTGGGAGAGACAAGATATATATGAGCGAAAACTTAACTTCTAATTCTAGAGAGTGAATAATGGCATGCCAAATGTAATTTTTCATACCAAATACAACCACTATATGAGTGCAGAGAAAAGAGAGGCTCCAGGGGACTAGAGTCATTAAGGAAAGCTACATAAACAAGGCAGGAATTGAGTTAGACATTTGAGGATGAAAAAAAAAAAAAGGAGGGAAAGGAAAGGAAATAGCTGTCCAGGATGGGGAGAGGAGAGTACAAATGAGCAGTCATCAAGAGAAGAATAGATAGTTTGAGACTTAAAATTTAGGAAGCAGTCATCAGACTTGGAAAAAAGAGATGATGATAGAAATATATATAATAAGAAGTAAAGAAGCATGTACATTTTGTATACTAAACACTTCATACCTAAACTCCTTGGTTTAAAAAAAAAATGTTGAAACATAGACATATTTTAGGACCCAGCAGCATTCCCAGAGGCTAGTGAGTAGCACATGCTTCACTAGGAGGGAGCTGACCATATATGACTTAGAGGGGATGAACAGGTAAGTAGGGCTTGGTTAAGTCTTCTGAGGAAGGATTCCGTGTTGAAGGAGCTTTTGTTTGCAACATAGATCAAACTCTCCCAAAGTCTTAGGTGACCTGATGTAGTTTTGTAGTTATTCTTTAAATTTTATCAATTTCCACTTATTTTATATATTTAAGGATACAGGAAAGTCAGAACCGTGTGCACAAATATCAGCAAACCAGGACCAGGTACATAAAGAAAAAGTTTGGAATTCTGATTTTCAGATACTGAAAAAAAATTCATACAGCAGTAAAATCAAGGATAAATATTAAGAGCCCAAAGGGGAAGCAATAATTGATAGATACACAAAAATAAATGGAGGTCCTACTTTTCTAACTATGTCTAGGAACTGATGTAAGAAATCTTTATTAAAGTTAATCAAAGCCCTGTGGATAAATCATCCATATATTGTATTTATGTGTGAGAGTATGTAGAACAGAGTTAGTAAAATTTTTTTAAAGCTTTCAATAAATACTTTGAAAGTCACTTATATGGATCCTTTAAAACATTCATTAATGGAATATTGATTAAATGAAAAGTTAACTCTTGAGAATGTTTCCTAAATAAAGTATATCTATGCATGGATGTACAATGAAGTTTCAAGCAACATTAATTATATCCTTTTGATGTCTCTACTGTCTTGTTCTAAAAAGCTAATAAGACCTGCACTACATCACAGTTAATGGGAATGCGGTGCTTGTTGCTTAGGCAACAGGATGAATAAATGCAGGTCAGAATGTGCTTCAAGAAAAATAAAAGCTAGAATATGATACTGAGTGGAGACTAAGCAGGTCTAAAAGATTTTTCACCCCATTAATGAAACCTGTTTCTTAAAGTGGGCTGATCATATTAGTATACTTTAACTAAATTCATAATTAAATAAATCAGATTATGGAAATCAATAAATAATTTTTATAAAGGTAAAAACTAATTTTCATGATACTAGTAGCAAATAAATAGTGTATAGTAGCATATAAAGCAATAATTGATGATACTATTTTATGGTTTGTTCAATTTTCATAATTACCTCTCTAAATGATCAAAGTTTTTTTCTTTTTTAATTAATTCTGTCTCATGAAGAAAGTATTTGATTGACTCATCTGAATTAACTATGTTTTCTCATTTTCTGGAAAATTACATATACAACTTAGAATTGCAAAAATAAAGACAATAGCCTATGGAGAAAGTCAGACCTTGGTTTTGTCACATATACCCAGGATTTTTGCCTCCCAGATACATTTTGAAGTACTTATACATAATTCATTCCTGAATGTTGCTTTACGACCTCAAGATGCTTATTTGAAAACTGTTTGATTAACCTTTCAGTTTCGGGCTTTCAAAAAGGGGTTATATTTGCTCAATTGTGTCCAATATTCAGAGGAAAATTATGCTGAATTAAAATATTTGGAAGTAGCCAAATAATCTAGAGAATCCAGAGACCTACCTAGCTTCTCATGGGGCCAGAATAAATTTGGACAAGGGTTTGAGGAGTGGGAATGAGAAAGTCTTATCTCAGGCAGAGACAGAGAGAAAGAATAAAGACATCAAAATGTGCAGTAAATATAAATAACTATGAAAAGACTTTCATTCTGTTTGATAGTTCCCCGAATTCATAGTGTTCTCTGTTTAGTGTCCTAAGTCTGTCCTAAATCTGCTCAGTGTCCTAACACTGTCATAGCAACCGAGGAAATTTCACTTTTTCCCTATTTCAATACCCATGATATCTGGTCTGTCTAATCAGTGACAGTTCTCTTCAACCTGAGATAAATAACAGTAGCTGCATATCCCATTATAAAAAACAGGTCCATAAAGAGTTCTATGTATATAGTTACTTAGGGCTCATATGTCTTACTACATTTATGTAGCTTTTTACAAAAGCTCATGGAGCATACACTTTTTAGGAAAAGAGGCAGAAGTTTAACAATTTTACTAATTTGAAAATCATAATAGTCAAGTTAAGCTTGGAGAAAAATAATCTCAAATAGAAATTTAAAAAACCTAACTAGCCCTCATATTTTGTTATCAATTCTGGCATTAATAAGCTTCAGGTGTCTGCCCCAGCATTTTATTTAGAAATAGCTATTAATTATTTCTGCAAGCCATTTGTGTGCTCCATGCTTATATTATGCAGCTCTCTCTAAATTTAGGGATCAGTAATACGTGTGATGAGAACTTAAAAGCAAGGAAAGGTAATAAGGACTGTGACGTAGCTTAACAAGGGAAACTGATGAGCACCGGGGGAGGTATATGAATGATTAGAAAGCTGTATTATGGGTCTGCACATTTCCCCACCCTCCTTCCTCACCTATATTCATCACAGTGAGAAGTTTGCACACACCGGGTCTAGACTGCATGCAGACCAGTACTCAGAATACATGAATGTACTTAGTCCATCAGCCTCTCTTTCTAAATACTGGCAGGTAGTTGATGGAAGTGTTTGTTTTTTTTATCTAAAGTAATAAATAACACTTCAGTGCTCTTCTATCAGCATGTGTAAGTAAGTGAATGTTCTCCATAACTGACCATCTGAAGCAGCTGGCTAGCAAACTAAAGGTCGTCCACATAATTTAAACTGCTTATCGAACAATTACCAGGAAAAAATAATCTTCACACCGTAAACATAACAAATTGTCTAATTAATCACTAAATGCTGATGCTCACATGAAAGAACATGTTTTAGGAATCTAGAATTAACTGAAGAGTGCTATAATCTAACTGGGTATTCTGAGATGACAAATTTATAAAAATCACAAAGAATGACAGGGAGAACATAAATGTTAATCTTCCTTCACTGCCTATAAATAGTACTCTCACCGGTTCATTCACATAATACATATGTATATGGATGCCTATAGACCTCATTTTTCGGCAAGTGTCTATATGTACACAGTAAGTTCCGTCCTAAGGGCATCCGATTTTCTGATGCAGTTACATATATAAACTGACCGGTTTTGGTGCAAATCAGGCTGCCTCTGAGCCGTGTAAGACACATAAGAAGCAAAGACAGACAAAAGGCAGCTCCGTGGACACAGAGAGCGTCTTACCATAAACTGTACATTGTCAAATCCATTAGCCATCAGGTGGTTCTCGTACTGAGGTAGCCCAATGCTTTCCAACCATTGTCCCACTGTTTGGACGGGGCATCTGGGTCCTGTAAGAGGATGAAGAGGGAAGCGTTTAAGCAGGGAGTAGCCGTCCACTGGGTAATAGCGGTAGTCCTGGGCTGAGAGGTGGCATTGCCACATCATGCTCCTGGGAAAGTTGCTATCAAAGGAGCCCGCCAGCTTGACAGATTAATGTTCTCAGCGAGAGAGCAAAGTCAGAAGTAAAACATAGTTTGCCAGGCAGGCTGTGGAGTATGACTTGATCCTAGCTCCACATTTCTTACATATTAATCTTTACTACCGACCAGTACGTCATACAGCCCCCAAAACCAGGCAGCAGAAGAAGGCATATCAAGCTGTCAGCTTAAGCTGGTCTGCGTTCTATGTGATTGTTGGAGTACTCCACAATGAGCAATGCACGGCCAGCAGCCAGAATTCTTTTTATCAAGTACTCCTACACTCATCAGTATGCAGCTCCATGCTCCTTGCTCCCCCTCGCTTGCTCCCCTTCATTACCCAGCCCAGGCTACACCTCGCATTTTCAATAATAGCCATCAGATAAGGCAGATTTTTTTTGTCTGCAAGCTGTAAGCCTGCCGCTGCTGCTTCCTCCTACACACCCATCCAAGCGTCAATCCTGAATGATGAGAGCAGTCAAAACAAATGCAGAAAATAGCAAGATTCAAAAGCAAACCGAAGTGCTTAAATCTGAATTGGATCTTCATACTGGTTATACGTTACAGGGCTATTTGTTGTGGAATTTTACGTTTCAAAAGACACCAGGAAATGCAAAGCTTTAACTATAGCTTATAGCCGGAGCTCACTACAGGTTTCCTTTCTCCTCTCCTTTTCTTCTCTTTCCTTTCATCTTTTCTAACCGCAACACAGCTAAATGTTTCTGATCTAAAGCTTTGCAGGGTTTGGAGAATAATTATTCTCTTTAACATGCTGTATCAAAATGAACCTCTCTGAAATATTTTTTTCTCTTCTGAATTACTGCAAAATACAGAAACTGCATCGCAATATTGAAGTCAAGATAATTCATTTCTCATTTGCAGGGCTTCTTCCAAACAAAAATATTATTAGGCACAAGAATTCCTTTTCCCCTCTGATATTTATAACCCAGTCTACCAGGGTTAGCATTCTAAATTGCTATAAAGGTAACATTACTGGGTAGAGATTTTTAATAAAGAAGAAGAGCCCTAACCAAAAATAATTCAATAATAACAGATGCAAATGTGTGAGTTTTACTGAATGGCAGACAGATTGGGTAATTTATTTAATAATTGAGAGAAACCAGAGATTAATAATAGAACCCAAAGGAAAAAATAATAGAACCCATAGGACTAAATCATAGGAAAGAATAGACTCTTAACTTAAGATTGGGAGAGAACTTGAAGAAGGGTTAGTCTAACCTCTCTCTTAAGGCAGAAATCCCTTGTCACAGGGTGCCCAGAAGATTATTATCCAATTTATGTTTGAATACTGCCTAGAACGGAGCTCTTACTACTTATCAGGAAGACTCCACTTATCAGGTATTTTACTTCCTACCTGACTCCTACTTACTGGTTCCAGCTCTGCCTTTGGGGTTACACAGACTGGGAACAGTGCCTTTTCTACATAAAGTGTTTTAAAAATCAAAGATAACTCTCAACCCCCCAGAACAGTGCCTGGCACATAGTAAGTGCTCAATAAATATTTATTATTTAATAAATATTAACATTATTTTTCTTCTTTCTCCAAACCTTATCTTTCTCTTTTTAAGAACTTTGTCAGCCTCCCTGGCACACAGACATTGAACTTCAAAACATCTTGGGACTCCCTCTTTCACTGCCTCACATGCATCCCCAAGTTCTAGTCATTCCTCACCAAGGTGTTTTGCATCCATTCCCTGGATTCTATGTCCTTTTTCATGTTTGTGGAATGGCCATCTACTTTGATTCTGCTATCTTATAAGTTGTCTAGGTTCACGTGACCTGATGCAACAATAGTGTCTGTATTGGTTTTCCTATCTCTGATATTTTAAAATCTATTTATACATGGGTGTCAGATTAATCTCCCTAGGATAGTTTTGATTGTTATGCCTTGTTTCAAAAGCCCTCCATGGTTTTTAGTTGGCTTCAAAATAAATTCCCTGCTCCTTTAATGACATTTTGGGGTCTCCATGATCTGCTACAAATCATCTACATTTATTTCTTTTTCCCCAGTACTCCCGTCAGGTGGGGTTTCTAGCTGGTCTCTAAAGGCAGCCTGTAACATACTTGGGTTGGTTTTGTTATGTCCCGACATTTCTGCCCCTTCACTGGCTTTGGATGAGACATTTCCTTTAATCTTTTATAATCCCTCCTAACAGGAATAAGTGCTTTCTTTATCTGTTTTAAATGGCATTTTTAGACCCTCTATTAGAACAAATATTATAATATTTGTTGTCTAATATTATAGTTATTTGGGTATAAGACTTATTTCTCCAATGTAGAACTATGTCTTGCCAATACAGCTTGTAGTAAGGATTCAGTATGCACCTGCTAAACCAAATAATATAATTTTCATTTCATAATCCAAACTACATAAAATTCTAGTTTCAGATTTTTTTTTAAGATTTTATTTATCTATCTGAGAGAGAGAGAATGAGAGAGAGAGAACACATGAGAGGGGATAGGGTCAGAGGACGAAGCAGACTCCCTGCCGAGCAGGGAGCCCGATGCGGGACTCGATCCAGGGACTGCAGGATCATGACCTGAGCCGAAGGCAGACGCTTAACCGACTGAGCCACCCAGGCGCCCTCTAGTTTCAGATTTAACATTTCATTAAAAAAATTCTATCCCAAGACTCTGAATTCTTTATTTAAAAGACAATGGGGATGTTTTTATTTTCATTTATTTATTTATTTTTGATCGGTAGGTTTTTAAATAGAATTTTCAGGTCTGGATTTTTAACATCCTCATCCTCTTTTTCACCTGATTATAATTTATTTCTGATTGGTCCTAGATCTTTTAAGAAGGTCAAAAACTTTGCAGCAGTTTAGGAATCAGTTTTGAGGGGCTCTGGTTGCTCAACATTACTTGTATGAGGAGTTGAAAACAAGACACTATTTGTCTCTAAAGCTGGTATGAGGTGGAATTAAGGGTAAATATTAATTACAGCCTCTCCTAGGGTCACATCCACACTGTTACTCCTGATCATTTTAAACTATGAGCAGGTAGATAGGCTACAAAAAGATTGTGCAGACATAATAATAATGTTTTGGCTTTGTAAGGCATATGCTAAAATCCTAAAATTCTATCTCATCTCTTAAGATGCATATCTGGGACCAAGTACCTAGAAGAGTGCCACACACACACAGCCTAGGTATTAAATCATCTTGTTAAATGAATAAATCAGTGGCATTGGAAATGGCTTTCATAGGGTTTTCATTTCTTGAGAGAGAGAGAAGAGTTATTTCAAGGTCCAGACTGCTTTATAAAAACATAGCTTGCATGCAGGCCAATATCCTGATGAGTATAGATGCACACATCCTCAACAAAATATCAGAAAACTGAATTCAACAATATATTAAAAGGATCATTTACCACGATCAAGTGGGATTTATTCTGGGACACAAGGATGGTTCAATATCCATAAATCAATAAACATGATATACCACATTAACAAAATTAAGGTAAAAACCATATGATCATCTCAATAGATGCAGAAAATGCATTTGGCAAAATACAACATCTATTCATGATTTAAAAAAAAACTCTCAACAAAGTGGGGTTAGAAGGAACATATAGCTCAACATAAAGTCCATATATGACAAACCCACAGCTAACATCATACTCAATTGTGAAAAACTGAGACGCTGGGATCATGACCTGAGCCAAAGGCAGACGCTTAACGACTGAGCCACCCAGGAGCCCCCCTAGGAATAAACTTAATCAAGGAGGTGAAAGATCTATACCCTGAACACTATGAAACACTGATGAAAGAAATTGAAGATGACACAAACAAATGGAAAGATATTCCACGCTCATGGATTAGAATTAAAATTGTTAAAATGTGCATACTACTCAAAGCAATCTACAGATTTAATGCAATCAAAATGCCAATAACAGTTTTCACAGAACTAGAACAAATAATACAAAAATTTGTATGGAGCCACAAAAGACATGAGTAGCCAAAGCAATCTTGAAAAAGAAGAACGAAACTGGAGGTATTACAATCCCGGATTTCAAGATATACTACAAAGTTATAATAATCAAAGCAGTGTGGGACTGGCACAAAAATAGACACATGGATCAGTGGAACAGAATAGAAAGCTCAGAAATAAACCCACGATTATATGGCCAATTAACCTACAACAAAGAAGGTAAGAATATACAGTGGGGAAAAGACAGTCTCTTCAACAAATGGGTGCTGGGAAAACTGGACATTACATGCAAAAGAATGAAACTGGATCACTTTACTATACCATACACAAAAATAAACTTTAAATGGATTAAAGACCTAAATTTGAGACATGAAAGCATAAAACTCCTAGAAGAAAACATAGTCAGTAATCTCTTTGTCATTTGCCTTAGCAAAGTTTTTCTAGATATGTCTCCTTAGGGAAGTGAAACAAAAACAAAAATAAACCATTGGGACTATGCCAAAATAAAAAGATTTTGCACAGCAAAGGAAACTATACACAAAACAAAAAGGCAACCTAGTGAATGAGAGAAGATATTTGCAAATGATATATTCATAAGGGTTAATATACAAAATATATAAAGAACTTAAACAATTCAACACTAAGAAAACAATCTATTTAAAAAATATGCAGAGGACCTGAATAGACATTTTTCCAAAGAAGATATACAGATGGCCATAGACACATAAAAAGATGCTTAACATCACTAATCATCGGGAAAATGCAAATTAAAACCACAATGGGTATCACCTCATACCTTTCAGAATGGCTAGTATCAAAAAGACAAGAAATAACAAATATTGGCAAGGATATAGAGGAAAAGGAACCCTCATACACTGTGGGAATGTAAATTGGTACAGCCACTGTGAAAAACAATAC